GCTTCATTTCAGACTTCATTTTACAGTAGCACTGCTAATAGCAATTTCTGTTGCTTTACTGCAAGTCATGGCCTTGGTGTTTACATTGGCTTTGTGCCACTGGAGCTTACAGCAGCCAACAGGTCGTAACAAAGCAGAACTGAGGGAATCTTTGGAAAGTTAAATTATCCAAAAGGGTCGTGCTGTGTTACCCAGCAGGGTCTACATGCTTATAAGCTGGTGCAAATCAGCAGACATTCTCTAAGGGAGGTGAAGCTGTAGTGATTTACATCAGCAAGTGTCCTAGAAGCCACAAGGAAAATTAACAGTCTGTATTTTATAAGTTGCAGCAAGAGAAAGAAATCAACCTCCCATCACTGACTTTCCTGCGGTAGCTCCTGCTGCCTACTGACTGCATCTCCATGCTCCTTCCTCTGTGGATTGTTGTAAACAGCAGCACCTTGACTGAACAAAAAAAGCGCTTGCATGTTGTCTTGAAAATTTTTTGGGGAAAAAGTGGCATCCTTAATTTCTATGTAGTCTAACACACATTTGACCAAAGCGGCCTTACTAGCACGTAATTTTTATGAAGTCTTGGTGTAGAAAAGACCCTGGCTCAGCATTGCTGGGCTTAAAATGTGAGCATGCTTAACTTCATTCTGAGTTGTATTTACAGCCTCTGTTTCAGTGTCTGGGCTCTCTGTACAGTGCCTGGGGAAAAAGCCTGATTTCTGAGAATGATTCACATAATCCAAGCTCAAACACAGAAACTATCTAAGCTAGTCAAGAGGAAATATCAAGGAGGAAGGGGCATATTAAATTTTGTGTCTCTTTAAAGCTTAAAGCTAGTGGGAGTTAATTTGTCTCTGTTAGGGTTTTCATTGTAAACATGAGTCCTCTCCTGATTTTTTTTATATAAAGCAGGAGAGGAAGCTCTTTTTAGATAGCATACTCGACTAGGAACCAAGAACCGAGATTCAAATACCTCTTCTACTTGAGGCAACTTGAGCTTTCATCTTTTATATGATATTGGTGATTAATGAAATATGAGTGGAATGTATACTGTTTCCAAATAAAAAAAGATGGGTAGGTAGTAAGACCTGCATCTTATGTGTGAGCGCTGTAATCATGGCAAGAGTCATCCTCATATTCCTTCTCTCTACCACAATGAATATTTAATTACCTCCCCTAGATAGTAACAGATTCAGAAACAGAGTTGAAAAGCTCCATCCCAGAAGATCCTGTAACTCAAGTCTTAGACTATCTCTTATGGTATGTATTCTCATCTCCTTGGGCTGAGAAAGGGTATGAGCCAGGATACCTTATAAAGCAGATGACTTCTCAAGCAAACAAGTCACATAGTAAAATATGTGTCCCATCTGCTTCCTGAATATGTGGAAAAAACCTGAAGTGTGCAACATGGGACTTGAGAAGGGGCATTTCCAGTTATGTGTTTTTGTAAGTATTAAGGCAAGTCTTGATATTTTGTTTGAAATATGAAAAAGGATGTGAGCAGCTCAATATTTTCAACATAGATACAGTGATACAAGCATTTAACGAGCCTCACAGGGCTCCTTAGGCACACAAGGGATTCAGATATCTGCAAAGCTGCATGTGCAGAATTTAAATTTCAGTTATTTAAATGTAAACCTGTTAAGTATCAGCTCAGCATCTAAGCGCTCTTGTGAATGTGAGCTCAGGCAGCTGGGTGAAGGAGCAAGGGAACTCTGGGGCACAAGGACAACTAAAAGGTGCCTCAAAGTCCCTTCCAACTTCCAATTCCATTGCACATATGGCTATGTAAGGTTCATCCTGGCTGGGGCTGCTCTGAGGCTTGGTGAGATTCTGGCATTCAAAATGTTGCTGCAGGAAATTGCAACCTCAGCTGAGGGGCCAGCAATGGTCATTATGGACTATGCAGCTGAAATGCCAGTAGTCTAGTTTCAAAGAAAGTTCTTTTCTTCTTCTAGGAGCTTGTGCACAACTATTTCTTTTCCTCTCTGTGTTCCTAGGTATGAGGGTATTTCTTGGCCTCTTGTGGAAGCTACTTTCTCTTTTTGCTAGAAGGCACTGGTGCTGTATGAGCTCTTGCAGTATCACATCACGTTCTGGGCAGAGGAATGGATCAGCTCTTGGTGTCTAGCCTTAGCCCTGCCATCAGTTCATTCAGTGGATGAGTCACTTTTTGTGTATGTCTCCATTTATCCATCTCTATGATGGGAAGGAGATCAATGGCATATTGTTCCACTGTGCTGGCACTAGCAGGCAGATGCTGCAATGCCTATGGTGCAGGGCAGGGCTCTGGTTGCAAAGAAGAGTTTCTTGTTCAGAGGAACTTCCCACACACACCATTTTCCAACTGAAACAGGGTAAGTCTAAAAAAAAATATCTGTCTGTTTAATAGAATATTTGCAAGGGACTCTCACAGTGACTGAGGTGTCAGGTCAGTCACTGCAACCCTGCCTTGGGTTTGGTAGAAGATTATCAAAGCCACAGCTGAACTGATGTCGTGAGCTGGTATTCCCCAGTGAAACAGATTATTTTTCTTGAAAGTTCCACAGGCTTCTGATCTTGGATCACACATTGCCTTGTTTCCCTTACCATTCTCTTTTTAGTTTACGTTATTTCACACAATGAGCTACTAAAAAAGAATACAAAGGGCACCTCACCTGATGCACTGGTCACTCCAGAGCATCCCCTGGGAAATACAGGATTTCTACCTATCCAGCCTGCTGAAGTTGTCCTTTCACCATGGCAGCATCTGTGATGAGAAGGAAGACAGCTTTGCTCCTTCTCTCACCCTGCCTGGGCTGCAAAAAAACCCAACTGGCACTTCCCTGTTTGGTCTTCATGCACTTCTTTCCACTCTGCCCTATTTCCAGGTTCCTTATAAAGACTGTGTGGGAGTAGCAGTATACAGAGAGTCACTGACAGCATCAGGATGAGAATCAAATGGAAAAGCTGCTCCATTGAGAGTTGCATAAATGTCCATTTTCACCTCAAACAGCCTGCCAGAGGCAGCAGTCACACCTTTCCTGTGCCTCAGAGGTCTCACAGGTACTGGGAGCACTGGAGGACTTGCAGCTCCAACACCTAAATTTATGAGACTTGGTAAAACATAAACACTCACCTTTAAAACATGCATGTGTCAGTTAAGTCACACTTAAGCACTACACTGATTTAAGACCTGAATATCACAGCCTTCAGCCTCCTCACTTCAGCAGCATGGTACCCTCTCCTTCTGGATGCATCTTCAGGATGAGTTCTTCACTGTAAAGCTCATTTGATTGATACTTCCAAAGCAATGTAGGAAATGTTTAATATTTATAAATAGTGAGGATTTCTACCCTGCTTCAGCACTCATTACAGTTGCAGTGATTCAAACCTCCAGCATAGACAGAAACTGCCTTGAGCTGAAACTGAGCAACTATCTAATAAAATATAGTCATGAGATGAATAGAAGCTATACAGTTGAAGAGGCTTGAGCATGCTTGAAAGATTTATTTCCTGGTTTCCTCTGGAGGCCTTTTTAATAGGGAGAATTTGACTCATATGTATGTTTATACATCCTTTATTTCTGGGTAGATACACATGAGTGAGCCCACGCCCGGCTTTAACCCTACATTCAGACCCATCCCTAATATGTTATGGTAACAAGAGTATACATAGAGAGAGCTGGTTAGCCACCTTCTACCTGAATTGCACCTTTTGTCATCTCCTTGGCATGTAAAATACTGTCGTACATTCATGTGCTGTTCATGTGGGAGTAACCTGAGGCAGTTTGAATGTAGGAAAATCTGTACATGTAGGAAAAGAAGTGGAGTTGCCTTCAGCAAGACAACCTTATTTGACCCTCCTCCTTCCTTTACAGCTGGTGTTTCAGCTGGGACAGGGAAGAATGAGGGGACTGAGGCTAAGGCCAGATGTTGGCATGAGGCATACAGGAGCTGAACAGATTTTCTCCATGCTGTCCTGCCAGTGCACATTAATCCTGAGCCACAGTGCCCTCTGTCTTTCCAGCTCCTGATCCTTTCCCTTAATCCTTCTATTTATACCTTCTGAGCTGGAGCCTCCTTTCTTATGTGGCAGTTTTACACCAGTGTAGATTCACGGCTGTCTGTGGGTTTGTTCCTGGCTTACTCTCACCTACAAAAGAAGAAAACTAGATGTATCACTTTTAGGTACCAAATGCAGTATTCCCTATCCCTTGGTTGTGTAAATAGTCCCTATATTCCTACTTTTCAGCAGTTTGTTCCAACACACAACAACCTGCTGTTATCCTGGTGCTATATTCCCACACAGCACTCCCTGATGCTGCTGCTGAAGCTGTGCCAGGTAGAGCACATATCTGCAGCTTCCTCCATACTGAGTCAGTCTGGGATAAACTCAGCCAGCGTTGTCTTCCTTGGTATCAGCATCAACAAGGAGATGTTTACCAGTAGCCTTTTTTTTTCGGCATCACCCCCTCCACATTCAGCCTGGCTATTGGAGATTGTCCTGAGTATAGTTAAATGTTCCTCTTAGTACCATTGAAGAGAGCCAGTTAAAGATTTGGACCTTCCTGTTCTCTGCACTGGCCAAATGGAAGAAAAGGCCAGAGCTTGTCTTGCAGAACTGAAGTCTAAGCGCGGCATGATATGTTCTTAATAAAGGAGTGATTATATGAATCACAGTAGCAAAATGTTCTTGCAGAGCACATGCCCCACTCCCTGACTTAAGCATCCAAAGGCAGCTGTACATCATTCCAGAGGAGGGATTTGCCTTAGACAGGGGTTAGCATATAGCCCCCTGTGTTACAGAGGAGTAGCTACAGAGCTAGAATTCAAGAGTGTCTTTTAATGAAGGTATTTGTGGCTGTTTTTTGGACAAAAATAAATTCCAACTGGCCCATATAGCAAATGAAACTCAACTACAAAAATGTAATGATATTTATTCACCCAGCTGCCAGCAAACTCACATGCACTATGAGTCATTCCAGATGTGGATAAAAACAAAGTCTGTCTGTGAAAGTAAGTTTCCTGATCCCGAGGAGACTTGGTTTGGGAAAGGAGCTGCACACTGACTTCAGCTGTACTCAGAAGAACAGACAGGTTCTTCTTCAAAGGGGGAGGGGGAAAGGAAAAGCCATTATTTATTCCTGAAAAGAAAGGAGGTGGGAAATTAAAAAGCTACTATACAGCTAGACACACGTATTTTAAAGAGAAGGATGCTTTGGAAGACTTTGCTGCTGCTGCTGTTCTATTACAGTGCTCATGCCACTGTGACCCACAGATGGAGCAGAGGTAAGATTTAAACATGTAAAACTATTTAAGATAAAAATTTGACTTTGTAGCTTTGGTCTGAAATTATGCTGCATTATATCTGTGTATATATATACAGATATATACAGATATAGATATATAGTATATATATATACAATTTGTCCTTCCCAGCTCTGGTATTCTTTTTCTCCATTAAACAGGTCAGTTAAAATTATATATATATAAATAAAAAAAACACACATGAATAAGAGCAAAAAGCTAAAATGATATATGTATTCTACTATAATAAAACATCCCAAGAACCAAAATTACATTCTTGCACGTTTTCCTTTCTCTCTTTCTTCTCATTTTTCTCCTACATTAACAAAAATAAATTATGAAACTTTAAAGTAAAAGCCTTTGCAGTCACAGGTGGCATAATCTTCTCCTCTAACAGGAAGATACCTGGTAATAGTAAAGACATGAATGTCTACATTGTGTAAGGTGCCTGGGAATGCCTGCTACCCTACCCTGACAGACTAGCACACACAACATAAGGAAAGCCACTTCATGTGTTATCAGGCTTCAGCTGACAATATGACAATATATAGTTGTGACATATTTGTATTCCAGTGTGTGTGACAGTAACATATGGAATGTTTTGGGACTATTGGATTGCATTGAAGATGCTTGCTTAAAAGCTAGTGATGATGTCCTTTCCCTTTTTTGGTTTTATTCTCTCCTCTGGTATTTGGCATGCGTTCAGTAGCTGCTGGAACTGGAGAAAGGAAACACCTCCCAGAAGATTTCTTTGCTTCTGATATTGAGATTCACAGATATTTAAAGGCACCAGAGTGTGCTGAAAAAATAGAGCATTCAGATTCTCCCCTCCCCACTCCAATCTTCCCTGTCTTCCTCATTGCAGCTGGTACCTTTCTAGTCTGCTCTTTGGGTTTGGTTTTGATTTTGTGAGAGAGAGAATGGCTGAGTGAATTCATGAAGAGCTACACAATTTGGCTCAGGTTATATGAATTAATTAATTGTTCCTTGCAGTTAGTGGGAGCTCACTGACAGAGCAATGACCTGGGACTCACAATGGTGGGTTCTTTCCCCAGCTTTTCCACCAGCTTCTTGGATGATACTTCATGAGTCATTATACCTCCATGCACCTTACTTTTCTTTTCCTATATAATAGAGGAAATAACCCAAATTGTCATCATAAGATCCCTTAATTCTGTAGGTAAGAGTTTGTGTTCCAGGGACGACACACAAAAAGGTGAGGAAATCAGAACTAGATTTGTATATATTAAAAAACCCCCACAACCCTACCTTTTGGAAGAATGATGTCACCTTATCTAAGAAATAGAAAAAAAAAAAAAAGCGGTCATTTTCATGGAATAATCACTGTGCAATTTAAGGATGTCCTTCACTTTTGCTAACACATTTATTTTAATTAAACAACAACATCACAACCCTAAAAGGAATCCATGCAACTATTAAAGTCCAATTTTAATCGCCATGAATATTTAAAGAAAAACATCAGAACTCTATTTTGCCTTTTGGGAAAGAAGATTGTTTTCAAGCTGGAAGCTCTGGAGCTTGTTTTTGGAGACTTCAGAGGACTGAGAAAATTCATTCCCTGTTGCGATAAGGAGTTCAGTTTTCACAAATATTGTATGCAGATATTTGCTGAGGAGGAAACCAGATTTCTTTTCCACAGCTACTGGGACTATTCAGCTCTAAAGATGTTTTAGAGGCATGACTCCTTCAGCAATAACTACTTCAGAGAACCTGAACCAGCTCAACCAATCCCAACTGAATGTGCAATATTTAGAGAGGGCCAAAGCACTGTCCTAATTTTTGAATTGCTTAGAAACCTAAGATAAAATCTGAGTACTGAGATATAACACATCCTTCCATACACTTAGAGCTCTTCCCTCTCTCCACAAATGGCAACTGAGTCTTGTTTAGGTTAAACCTCAGTCGTTTAAGTCTTATCCAACTCCTGATCTGAGTTTTGCAATGAAAAAGCAAAGGCAGATCAACATCTGGATTGACGGAAATGAAAGACAGATCTGTGTATCTCTTCATAATGACTAGTAGTCCAAATTGTTTACAAAACAATAGATAAAGAGTCTTGCTGTAATTGCCAACAGTCATTGTTTGCAGTAGAAATGAACAGCCAATATTGGATACAACAAGGTCGAGCTTTAACCGTTTTTTCACTAGGAGGTACTGAGGGAGCTTTGGATCCCCAGCCCAATTGTTTAAGCTTTGGCTTAAGAAAAAGTCAGACATAAGAAAAGGTGAACATACTTGTGCTGACTAGTGACTAGGAACTCCAGACTGCCACCTCCCTTTTTCCCTTTGCTTAGAAGCATCAATGAATGGAAAAAAAACCCAACATTTTTGGTAGGAAAACAGAATGCTTTATTCTTTTCTTTCTCTTTTTTTTTATTTATTTTTTTTTTATTTATTCCTTCAGCCATTTGCATTAAAAATCTCACACACTCCTCAACCTGTCTAGATTGAACTGTGGACATTGGTCCAGAAGTCACAGGCAAAGCCTGGTGTCTGGGATGGACATGTTCAGAATAAAAAAGAAAAGATCCGGAGAGATGATGAAATAATTTTCTTGTCATCATCTCAAGTTTTCTTGAGCCTCTTGTAGGCTTAGCTGTATAGAAATAGCCTCTTGTGTTTTATGAAGCAGCTGTCTAGGGGAAAAAAAGGTAATATTAGATTTCTACTGTGTTATTCCCTATGCAATGGCACAGGTGAGGTCGTGTTAATTTCTTAAGGTTCCAAATAAGAATTCCAGATCTTAAGAGATGTTTTTGCTGGAGAAAAAAAAGAAACAAATCTTGTTTTTTGACAACAAAAATAAACAAACAAAAAACCCAAAGCAAAACCAAATCCACACATGCAGCTGTGGTAACCAGAGACAATGTCACTGCTTCCCACCCAGTTGCTTTCATCAAACTTCTTTGACAAGTACCAGTCCATTGGAGAGCAGAACTTAGCTTTATGAGCATTATAAGAATTGTTTGTTCCCTGAGGAGAAACCTTAAGGCAATCCTTATTAGCACATTTCATCTCAGCTGGCTGTAGTTTATGTGCTGTAAGGGCTGCCTGATTCTAATAAATGTCACACAAACAGTAGCATACTTGCTGTGTGGTTTACTCAGGGAGCGAAGATGCAGATTTCTTATAGTTGTGGCTTTTAGACAGTGGAGAAACAGTTGCAAGGGCAAGTGGACCCTTCAGTGGAGTCCGGAAACAGAGATGTTGAATAACTCAAAATAAGCAGGTAAAATGCTTTTCACCCATCAGTGAGAAAAGGATATATTAGCATCACTGAGGTTTCACGTTTCTGGAGAGTGTCTGTGCTGTGCCTTCCAGACCTCAAAAGCAGAATTACAGTCCCATCCAGATCTTTATGGATTATTTTCTACCCAGTCTCTAGTGGCTGGTGAAAGTCAAATGGCTGTTCCATAGCACCAGGGGAAACAGTTTGTTCTCCTCAAAGGATTTCTGCAGGAGTTACTTGGAAGAACAGGAGGTCCATCCTCCTTAATTTATCCACAACGATGCAAACTTTTAATATTTCGTCTAGGTTTGTGGTAACTTAGTTTGAGAGTTTGATGGAGCAGCTACTACATGAGCAACTTTTGCCCACTGCTTCTACCTGTGGGCTTTGCTACCGCGGGCTGGCAGCTCTCTGGTGCCAGGAGAGGGAAGACTATGTAGAAAGAAAGAGAGACTGGCTGTTGCTAAAAATTCAGATGGTATTTTTACAAGGAAGCAGTGTTTAGTATATTCTAATCTCTGTGACCATCTACTGTGTACCAGATTGCTGATCTTTGCTGTGTGTGCAAAGATTGTGCCTTGGAGTTTAGGGCATGCACTGCATTCCCACAGCTTTTCATCTTATTTGCCTCTCTTCCCCACTATATCTCATATTGCATCCTTACAGCCAGGCACTCCCTGCTCAAGCAACTTCTGGGATTCCACCACTGACAGTAACACATTTTTGGCTTGGACAGCACGAGCAAAGGAAATGTGGGCTGAACTCAGCATGTAATTGCAACACAAATAATCAAACACACATACACATACATGCCCAGCAGTCCCTAAGTATACCAGGTTATGGTCTGGGCTTATTTAGAACATCACAAGGTTTCCAGAGGTCTGATTCAAGTGTAAAACAAAATTACACCAGCTGGACCAGCTACCAGAACTTTTTCAAATGCAGCATCTATTCAACTTCCTTTAGTTTCTATAAAGTCATTGTTATCCAATTCTTAAAATATGTAGTGCAAGTGAAAGATGTGAAATGGTATGAAACAGAGCCAATTCTGTCTAAGCCTGGCTGTGTAAAGAATGTTACTTCTTATGGAGAAAACGCAGTATTTCCCTTTTCTCTGGCTCTTACGTGGTCACTTGGAAAATTGCCTCAACTGCCCCAACTTCCCTGCTTGTTGGGTCCATTCCAATGACCTCACTGAAGCTGCAAAATGATTGATCGAGCAGCAGCAGGGATTTTTCCCACGCATCCTGAATCTGTTCCATTAAATTCATCCAGTTCCTGGGAATGCAGGTTTGTAGGCTGGAGTCCCCTGATGCAAATTATTACTGCACCAAGTATCTCAACTGTACCTGTAAAGGAAGGAAGGTACTTCCTGAAGGGCTGCCTGGGATTGAAATTCAGAGGAATTAGTTTTGCATCTGGATGACTTGAAGAAGACAAATTATATACCTATGCTTTTACTTCCTAAATTCTTTTGCAAAGGGTTGTGTAAGAGATGAGCATAATTTTAAGTCACAGACCTAAAATTAGATCCATAAAAACCAAACCTTCCTACGCTGTAAGTAGTAGGAAGGAGGCATTAGAAGAATATTTTCTGCCTTTTAAAAGATTAGAAGAAAGGAAAGACAAAAATATGTTTTCAAGAAGGTCTGGAAAATATTTTAGAATTAATGAGCTAAGGAGGCAACTAAGTTATCTGTGTGGCACAATGGTGTATGGAGCAGAGATCATA